GCTGGAGAGAGGCCACATAATCCAGAATCAATTATTCAACTTCAGCCTACAAGAACACTGGTAAGAACACATTTTGGCTCCTGAGTGCAGAGGGGTGGCTTCCAATTCTATTAGAATTCCACTGCATGCTTGAGATTCCTGCTGGGCTCTTCTTTGCAAGGTTCAGCTCAGTTCCCAAGTATGGAGGCTACAAAAGTGGTTGTGAGGGGGGCACCCATGGCCAACACCTATTTTAAAGGTTCCTCATCTCCATTGAACCTGTTCATCTCTCTTCCTATGCTGGGAGGATGGATTCCTATCCTGCTAGATGCTTCTCTTTGCTCCTTCATCACAGTCATATTAGATTCATACTCTAGAATCTAGCTTGGGTTGACATTTGATGTTTGTTTTGACTTAATTCCACCTACCCTGGGAAAACTGGCATTTTGTTCCACCTTCATTCTATCTCCAGATGTCTTTGGAACCCAGGATTCCTAGACCTTCTTCCTCTTTGGTACCTTCCTTCCTGAAAGGAACTGTACCTCATGCTGTGGGCAGATTCTTTTGAAATGAATGTATTTAATCCTGTGTTGCCTAAGATTATTACCTTATGGCATTCAGGCAGATCTGCCTCACATGTTCTCTCTCTGTCTCTCTCTTTGTCTCTGTCTTTTCTCCCCCCCCCCCCCACCACCACACACACACACCACCACCAACACAGAACTTCCTTTATATCCTCTACCAAATCCGTTATTCTGGGCTGGAGGTCCTGACTCTGCCTTCAATGCCTGTGCAGAGCAACTAATGTAATTTACTGGTTTTATTTGCAAATATAAACTTTATGGGATACAGAGATTCTCTGTAGGTGTCTTTGCATCCATTAATGTGTGTTTTTGAGACAAGAGGGGAGACCCTTGGCTATAACCAAGTGTTTGCAATGTTCTTCACTATCGATACTTGGAACAGTAACACAGAAAACCAGGCAGAAATAAAAAAAAGCAATGCCCTGAATTGGGAATTTGGGGAGGCAATGGCAAGAGTTTTGCCAACTGATTCTCCTGGTAGTTTGGTTACAGCTTCTGAATGCTGCAGTGAAGAAAAAGGAGCAGTTGGAGTAATTTTGCTCACCTTTTGAACAGTATCTCACTTTCAGTGCTGGCAACTCATTCATCAGTTTAGTTCAATAGCAGAACTAATACTGGATGTGAAAGCTAAACTCACCTTAGTTAACAAAGCTATATTGTAAACTTCGTCAGACCCTAAGTATCTTGATAGAATTCCTCTTGTTCAAAAATGGGTCTTCTCTCACTTGTGGAAAAAAAAAAGTAGAGGGTTTTTTCCTCTCTCTCTTTATAAAAGGTAATTTTATTCTCTCTGTCTCTCTTTTCAACCTTGCATGGCTTTCTTCAGGGAGTAAAAAAGAAAAGTCAAAATGGTCACCATAATCATGTGATCAATGCCCCGATCTTTTAAAACACATCCGTAAAAAAGGAGCGGTTCTGATTGCATGGATATGGCCATTTTTGACTTTTTTGAAATAATATCACCCACCACTGCCCATAGACAACCCTGCCTAAAACGACTTAAAATTTAGTGCTCACCAAATGGTGGAAACAAATTAGTTGAGAAAATAAGAAAATAATTTCATTAAAATATAGGATCCCCCGATTCTGGCTTGAGAATATAATGCTGTCTTTGGAGGGGAAGGGAATAGAGGATACAGACAAGGTCCCTAGGGATATGCAAGTGGTTTGCTGTATGCTAGCTTTATACCATCCCACATTCTTTTCAGTGATTCCCAGTGTCCACTTGCCCTGATGTTTGAGTCTGGTTCCTGGCTTGCAGTTATAATTTTCTATTTCCCACCATGTTTCAACTTTTCTGAGTTGGGGATCATTATAGACCATTGCAGAAAATTGGAAAAAGCGCCTTTATGGTTTTTTGCCACTGATAAGTCAGTGTAGGGGAAAAGCAAACAGTGGCCAATTTGGTCAGGCTATTTTTAAACATGAACCCAGTCCTAAATCTTGGATATCCTGGATTATTTGCAGCATATTGATAAGAACATCTGGCTTAGAATTGTTGAATCAAAGCAAGCAAAGTAGTTGCTTAAGTTGTAGTTAAGTAGTTCTGCACAATTGAGATGAAGCTTTCAATTGTGTACACATAAATCATTCTAGCTTGTCCAGTGAAGTTGTTGTTAATTAGTTCTGTTGCCATGCCAGTATTTTACACCAAGTTACTGAACCTCTGGTTTCTACTAGAAACAAATAAGTTCCTTTCTGCCAAAAACTTGGCCATGCTTGATTTATGGAGCTCATGAGATGTCCTCCCAATGACCTGCTTAGGCACGAGGCAGCAGATATGATCAGATCATTACTCAAAGAACACTTGATAAGGAACCCAACAATTAGATTGCAGAGCTTAGTTTCTTCCCCAAATGCTTTGACCGGGGTAGGCCAGTTCTATCAAAGGCTCTATCCTTGTCAGATTTCCCCGTTCAAAGTCTCCACCACCCCCATTAGTAATGTCCCTTATCAACATTGGAAGTCATTAGATGTGCAGGTAGTCCTTGACTTACAACCACAATTGAGCCCAAAATTTCCATTGCTAAGGGAGATGGTTGTTAAGTTACTTTTGCTTCATTTTATCACCTACCTTGCCACAGTTGTTAAGAGAATCACTGCAATTGGTAAGTAGTAACGTGGTTTTTAAGTGAATTCGACTTCCCTATTGACTTTGCTTGTCAGAAGGTTGCAAAAAGTGATCTAATGACTCCGGGATGCTGCAACCATCATAAATACATGCCAGGTCCCATGGGTCCAATTTTGATCACATGACCATAGGGATGCTGCAGTAGTCGTATGTGTGAAAAACAGTCATAAGTCTCTTTTTCTCAGTGCCAGTACAACTTTGGCTACTAAACGAATGTTTGTAAGTCGAAGACTACCTGTAGTAACCTGTTCACATTAAGCATTAGGAATTGTCTAGTGTTCTAAATGAGAAATACTGAAATACAATATAGACTGAATTTGAATACAGAAGAAAAGATTGGGTGGAACAGTGAATGAAATATCTTTTATAACAAATCCCATGCAGATAATATCACTGCAGAAGAGTTCATGGCTGGGGATTACTGTTCTTCAGACTCAGAAATTTAGCCCAGGAGCAAGAGGACAAGCCACAAGAATCACCTAGCTTGGTAAGATGGACAACATGCCTACAATAGGTGAGCTAGTAGTTCTGAGCAGTGTGGCCCTGTGTTAATTTTTGTATGATCCTTGGACTATTTCTGCCTAATGCAAAGCTAGTACAATAGGGCATTTGGAAGAATCCCAAGAGCAGTAGAAGTATCCCACTATCCTGGTACACTAATTATTTGACTACTTTGGGGGTGCTGTTTCCCATTGCCAAAAAAGTAGGCTTGGAGGCACCTTGAGAGGATACTCCATTTCCATCGTCCAGTTCTAGATTAGAGGCTGCCATTCCCTACAGTTCACCCCCTTTCAATTAACCAGTTCATAACTATTCTGATTTAGAAGGAACATGCAATCATGACTCCAGTGGGAAAGCATTGTTTTTAATAACATTTTGAAAGAGAAGCAGCAGAACAGTGCCAAGCGTTTCAGCTCAGTCTGATTTCCCCAGTTAAAACTCTAGAAGGTATAAATGGGTTGGACTATTGCTCCCATAGCCATTAATTATACCACACTAAATGTAGTCTGGGAACTCGGAAGCAGGTGAACATCAAGGTTGAAGTTGTTGGCTCTATTGCCGATGGCAAGAGGGGGTGGGGGAGGCATTCAGAACATAGCAGATGACCAGGATGCCAGAGGCCAATACAACATCCATATCATTGACTATAGTTTATTATAGTATTTTAAATTTATTATACATAGTACACAGTTGTACAGTTAAGACACTTGTGTTGTAATTTTTACTTTAAAATGTAATTTATTACTTTCTGAAACCAAATGGTGCTTATTCTGAAGTAAGAAATAGGATTGCCTAAAGCAATCTATTATTAACATTATAATTACATTTGTGTCTAAAATTATTTAGCTGCCTGTCTTGCAGCCATGAACTTCTTGCCCAGTAACAGCTGAACCATACAGCTGGATGAGGAAAGTTGGTGGGAGGGGGGCAAACACTACTTGGGGAAGCTATATGCAAATTGTAAATCAGAATATTCAGCAATATAACTTTCTATGATGATTCTAAAATTAAGAGTCCTCTGATAAATTTCAGATGTTAACATTTACTCAGAATAGGTCAGGCACCAGGGGGTGGATGGGAGGGAGAAAACATAACCTGTTTCAATTTTTCCAGCAATTTGCATGCATGAAAGGATTGGGTGGTTTTTTTTTTAAATTAAAAATAAATAAAAACTATATCAAACAAGCAGAAATGAAGCAATGATGTTTCAATCTATACAAATTCACCATAACAGAAAAGAAAAAAGTGGTCTAACACAAGTTTGGCAGCAATTGGAAATTTAAGCTGCAAGAAATAGATTACCACAAATGCATGGTCTTTTTAGAGCAGTGTTTCTCAATCTTGATAACTCTTTAAGATACATGGACTTCCAACTCCCAGAATTCTGGGAGCTGAAGTCCACACATTTTAAATTGCAAGGTTGAGAAACATTGTCCTAGACTTTTCTGCTTTTCACACAATTAGAAGGACCCTCTTGTTCCTCAGTTTCATTGGGAAATAGCAACAGCATTTTGGAAAATAAATCTTCCCACAGACTTCACCCACAAAAGTGTGACTGTTCCTCCCAAGGCTGCCTACTTCAAAGATGGGCAGGCAAAGCAGAAAAGATGTACTTCAGAGGTCCTCTAGAGGGCACCCTCTTTCCAAATGTACGATTAGAAAGACCAAGAATAAAAACCAGGAATGTAACCTTTCAAGGGAAACATTCTCCTAACTTAAGAAAAAAAGAAATAATTAGATAGATGAACAAGCAGGACACCATCATCATGTTTTGCTTGGTTTTGGATTCATATCTTTCCTGGAGGTCAGATGCCATCCAAATGACTGGCTTCCCAGGAGTCACTGAGTGTGTTCAGCAGACGCTGGCGAGCTAAGGACCTTCGAAGGTGCATGCGATAGTCCTCCATTACCAGATTATCCCAGCGTCGCAGCACAAAATGGTTTTCATCCAAGGTTAATCCAGAACACAACAGCTGATTCCGAGTTCGGAAATCTGATACTGTGATCAGCCACCTGCATAGGAAGACAAGAAAAGGGAGATGGCTGACGGACATGGTTTCATCAAGCTTCATTATGGAGGAAGTTTCCATTGCTTCTCCAGCACCCCATGGCTCAACAAGTTCAGAATAATTCCTTTAAAAGTTCAAATGACCCCTTTCATGGGGCCCAGTGCAATAGGCAAAAATGGCAGGAGATACTGGTGTAGATGGCACAGAGACAAACATAATGGAGTGTGTCTGAAGCAGATCTGGCTGTTCTCAGAAGCAGACCCAAACAAAATTCCCAAATGGTTGAAGGCTAACTTCCCCAGTTAAGCAAAAGCATTCAGATCTCTGGCTTCTCAGAAGAATTCAATATGCTTCTAGGCTGAATATTCAGCTTTTAGAGTATTCAAGTTTACACTCCCTCCCAAGGGCTGACTGCTGGAGACAGAGGCTGTATGTCCTGAAGGCCGCCTGTGCCCTTTGCCTAGATTAGAAATTTTATTCTTTTATGGCAGGGCTGCATAATTTATACCGGCCTTCCCAAAGTTGCCATTCAACTGGCATGTTTAATGCAACAGAAAAGGGAAACTCTAAAATACCCTGAGAAAAATGGTAACTGGTCTGGCCTGGCCAAGATTATGCATTATTCATCTGCTAGATCAGTATTTTTTAAACTTGGCAACGTTAAGAAGTGTGGATTTTAACTCTTCATAAGTCCCTAGTGCTAGCCAAGGAATTCTGGGAGTTGAAGTCCACACCTCTTAAAGTTAAGTTTGCAGAATACTGAGCTGGGTTGTGTTCTGAACTCTCATACCTTCAGCTGAATGTATAATTGTAAGGAGCATAAATGAACACGACTTATTCAACTAAAGTAACTTGCTCAGGAACCCAAGTTAGTATATCCAGGTTAGTATAACACATTTAGTTTTGTTACTGAATTAACTTGTTTTTCAAATTTGCATAATATGTTGAGTTATAGATAAACTAAACAGTATGGGTCCATACAGTGCAGTATTTTTTTTTAAAAAAAGGACTAAGCAAGCTTACAATGTTTTCTGAATGCATTCACCCAAGCTTTTGCTGGTCTGCACAGACATGAGCAAACCCAGCTAAAATGGGGCCCTAAATGTTAGTGTCTCTCACAAGAGTCAGGACTAAAGAAGGAGGGAGATCAAATGATAGCTCCCAGATTTTATACTGTTAGCTATTCAAAGTCATTAGACTGAGATGGATGACCATTTGATTGATAGATATATAGACAGAATGAGTAGATGATAGGTTAGGTGATTAGATTAGATTAGATTAGATTGAAAAGAGAAAGGAAGGGTGAGGGAGGAGAATTCTGAGAGTTGAAGTCCATCTTAAATTTATTAAAGATAAATTTGATGAGACTGCTGGTCAGTGAAGGAAACTACGTATTGCCTCAGCTAAGCATTCTTTTTTTTTTTTATGATGCCATGGGCCAAGCTAGCCAAATAAAAGTGAGTGATTAAACAGATTTGCCTTAGTCCAGAGAATTGGAGGATAGAGTAGTTGAATATCTACACCAACCTGTTCTTCCGCCCAGCAGTTCCACAGATTACATTGATGTTTTCAAATTGGATGCTGCGTAGCAGACCTGCTTCAAAGGCATTGGGAATGACGGCTTCTATGGCTGCTAGGATTTCAGCATGCTTCATCTCCTTTTCAGGCTAAAAGTTAGAAGCGATGCTCAACCATTGATGTTCTCCACCTTCAGACGCACCTTTTAAGTTGTTATGGCTTGTGTATAATAGTTCTACCCTATCTTTGTTCTTGGAGTTTTGATTTTCTGCTATTCCCTCATTTTACCTTCACAACATCCTGTAAGGTAAGTTAAACTGAGACATTGGGATCACTCAAGATCTCTGAGTGACTGTTTTTTCACTCATGTAAAACGATAATACAACACTCAGGATTCCCAGGAAAAATGGCAAACCGCTTTACCGTCCTCCGTATTTCATGCTACAGGTAGTCTTTGACTCACAGCAAACCATTTAACAATGGTTAGAAGTTACAATGGCCTCAAAAAAATAAAATAAAACGTACAACCCATCCTCTGTCACATGACTTCCAGTGTTGAGTGATCACAATTGGGTGCTTGGCAACTGGCTCGCATGTATGACGGAGCAGCATCTTACCATCATATGATCATGATTTATGGATCTTCCTAGCTGGCGTCTGACAAGCAAAACCAGTTGGGGAAATCAGATTTACTTAACAACCATGGTAAAACTGGTTATAAAATTGGGTCCAGTCACATGATATGTTTTACAAATGCTGTAATTTATGATTCGGTAGTGGCATGAGCAGGATAGAAGGATCCTTGCTCTTCTTGATCTCTCAGCAGTCTTCAATACATGGTATCCTTTGTGCCAGATGCTGGGTTTGAGGCTGGGTGGAACAGTTTTGTGTTGGTTTGGCCCCTTTCTCCAAAGTTGGTCCTAATCAGTGTTGATAGGGAGTGAAAGGTTCACCCCACAACCATACCTCTGTGACATGCCATAGGGCTCTGCACTCTTGTCTACTCCTTTTTAACATCTATATAAAGTGCTGGTTGAGATCATTCACCAACGGGTTGAGGTATTTATCATTAATGTGCTAATGATACTCAACTTCATATATCTACCCCTGGTGATCCAAGTGATGCCACTTTCTTGCAGTGCCTGGGGGCTCTGGGGGACAACAGACTACAATTGAACCCTGGCAAAACCAAATGGCTTTGGGCGCATGGAGCTTCAAGAGTCAGGACTTTACCCAACTTAGTTTTGCAACCTGCATTACACCAGACAGACTCAGTTCACAACATGGGGGTTCTCCTAGTCTTGTGACTCCTGCTCAAAGAGCACTTGGCAGTCGAGGCTAGGACAGCCTTTCCATAATTTTGGTTGGTGCACCAGTTGTGGCCTTTCCTGGATCAGGAATCTCTGTGCTCAGTTAATCAAGCCCTGGTCATCTTATGCCTAGATTACTGCAATGCGTTCCATATGAAACTACTCTTGAAGAAAATTTGGAAGCTTCAACTAGTGCAGAATGCGGCAGTGTAAGCAGCTCCTGGGGTCCTTAGGATGATCTATGTTACACCGCTTGCTCTGCAAATTGCACTGGCTGCCAGTCTTCCGGATGCAATTCAAAGTGTTGGTTATTATCTTTAAAGTCCTGCATGGCATGGGTCCAGGCTACTTGAGGAACTGTCTCACGCCACTGGGACTGGCCTGCCTCACCCACATCAGCAGAGGAGGCATGTTGCAGGGTCCATTGCTCAAGGAATTCCAGCTGGCGGGTATGGGGGAAGGGCTTTCGCCCTATGGAACATCTTATCTCCTGAGGTGAGATTGGCTCCCACCCTTCTGTACATCTGCAAGAGCCTGAGGACCTGGTTATGTCAGATGGCCTGGGGCCCTAATGGGGGAACATCACATTGGAGGCGGTTGTTGAATTAAGAGCCAATCCCACTGCTCTGCCATGCATCCTATTCTCTCCTCTCTTACTTAACCCTAACCCTAACTATACCTTGATTGGGATTTCTATTTTTATTCTTTAAAATATATTTATTTGTTAGAATTTTAATATTTGAATGCTGGAAGCCACCCAGATTTGTTTGTTATGAGACGGGCAATGAATAAATACAATAAATAAAAATGATGGAAACTCTGGTCTTAAGTGGAGAAGTACCTGTATGTTTGAATATGGAAGTTTCACTAATTTCTCCATTGGATTCTTCCCATAAACAAGTATTTCCTCTCCCACCCTATCTTCTTTTTCTTTTCTAAGCAAGCCAAGCTCTCAACTAACATCATAGTGAATATCTGAATATGAGCTATGATGATGCAGTGGTTAGAATGCAATATTACAGGCAAACTTCCCATAGTCAGGAGTTCAATCCTGACTGGCTCATGGTTGACTCAGCATTCAATCCTTCCAAGGTCAGTAAAATAAGGACCTTGATTGTTAGGAGCAATATGCTGACATTTTTAAACTGCTAAGAGAGTGCTGTATATACCACTATGGAGCAGTTTATAAGTGATACTGCTGCTATTATTATTATTATTTATTATTATTATTATTATCCGAAGTTAAGCCTAAATTATTCATGAGTGAATTATAGACAGCTAATAAACTTCAACATTCACTCTGAGGAATTAAATTTTCTCAGTGTACAACTCAGATATCAAAAAATGTACTCCTTTGTAAAATCTCTTAGTTGGTAAAGCTGAGCCATAACCTAGTCTTGCCCAGATAGGTTGACACTGAAACTGCCAAAGTTTCTAATGTACCCCCAGACAGTATTGGCTATGACATGGTTGTTGTGATCACAATTAATTACATTTTCTCAAACACATGTTATGGGTGTAAATAGTTGCCATGAATTAAGTCTTGAGTATACAAGTGTGAATGGGGGGAAATGGATCGTTTTTTAAATTACAGTATTTATGGGTGGGTCTTTATGTCCCTCTAAGGCCTCATGCACAGCTGTGCACAACAATGACATCTGTCTCGGATTTCTCTTATTTTTTAAAAGAATAAATTAATCTACACCAGCCAGCTCACAAAAAATGAATTTCCCACAATGCCATCATATCTAACTTCTCTCTGGGCATGGGGGAAAAATTAAAAAGCAACTGGTTTTGTCTCACAGAGCTCAGCTCTTCTCAGACAACTTGAAAGGGCCCTGAGTCTGTCTTTCCCACTAACACTAACCGGGTTCTCCAAGCAAAGGCAAAGAGGTCGGGCAGCAGGTGGCCGAGGAAACTTGCGGATACAAGGCATTTCCATGTCCAAGGCTTCATATTCGGCAATGATCTTCTTCAGATACTGACGCCTAATGGGGAGAAAGAAAGCTGAAGGCCATGCCTAGGCCCCATTAATAGTACAGAGTTATGCCTCAGAGTCATCCATTTTGATGTAGCCTCTCTCGTCAGGAGAAGCTGAGAAAGTACTTCCTGACAAAGCAGAAGGCAGTTTGGCATAGAAATGCCAGCCGTTGTTCTCATTGTCCGCTTGTGCTCTTTTGAGAAGCCTTTGGTTGGCCGTTGCAGATATAAGATGGTGATTTAGGTAGGACTTTGCCTAATCCACCTGACCTGAATCTAGGAGAATGGACAGTATTGTGAACAAGTATGGGTATTATTTTTTCATGCTCACCTATAGCCTCTGTTTTGATTAAGAGGCATATTGGAAACCTCAATCCAAGAACTGGGGTCACTGCCAAAATGCCCCCCACTTCTAGAACAGTACCATAAGGCTGCCACATAAGAAAGCCATGTGGTGGATCAGCTACTTCTCCTTCCCAAAGGTGATCTTCAGAAAAGATAAAGGGACTGAGATGTGACCAGGAAGTGGGGATGGAGGCCCAAGACTTTGGGATCCATTGGGATAGAAAGTGGGGCAAGGGGTGCCTCAGGGTGGGGGAGACCTTCGGAGAGCAACAGCAGGCCACTTGTGAACAGGAGAGATGCTGCCATGTGGGCTTGGACCTGGGCATGCACCAAGCCTCCCAGAGTCTCCCACCTACCCCAAGGCACTCACTCCATGTTCCGCTTCATTGCAACTAGGAGAGCAGGAATTGTGATTAAGCGAGGCAATCACATGAGTGCTTAAATTAATAACTACCACTATTTATGACTGAAACGGGCACACTTTATTACAGACATAGATTACCTGTATTTAATAATTTTCTGTCCCATTAAAGATTAGAATTCAGTGGCAACTTTCAGAGAGGCTCCCTCTCAAGACTTGTGAGGAAATATGAGATCCTACTCTAGTATCTTAGTATCATACTAATATCCTGTCTTACTGAGACATTGCTCTCTTGATAATGCTGCTGCTCAGGAAATTACATTATAATTTACAGACAGATGATAAATCTTCAGGGGCTCTGAAGGACTGCAGCAGGATAAAGAATATACCCTTCCTGGGAAAAGGAGCAAGGGATACTGTTCTGTAATTCAGCCCCTTACTCTGAAATAGTGTCCTTTTTCTCCCTAATGTCGATTTTTTATCATTTCATACTCACGAAGTTTTTCGAGGGGGTGGGCAAGGTTGCTCCAATTCGAGAAAAAGGGAGGATACCCCTTCACTTTCAGTTTCTGGAACTGAAAGCAAAATGGTTAGTTAACATTTACAATGTAATCTATAGTTCTTCCACAAAAAAATCAAAACATGAGAAGAATCTCTTGAACCTAATCAAAAGCTCTCCGTGTCCAACATGCTTTTTTTCATACTGGCAAACTAGCTGCCCTGGGAAATACAGAAAATAAAGACCATTCAGAAGTTCTTTTGGATTCACACTTTCATTTTACACACACACAAAAATGATGGGCCACTTTCAGGGCTGTAAGTGGAAATAGAAATCACTAAATATATTACCTAAGTTTCTGGACAAAAAGTAGAATATAAATCTAATAAAAACAACACGCTACAGTATTTCTGGATAGAACTATCTAATAGTTGCACAAATATTTCTGTAAAGGGTTTGAATTTGAACCAAAGTTGTGTCTCTTGTGAGACTTCTCGTTTAGTTGACCTGATCAAAACATTGCACTAAAGTCCTAAACCTCAGATCTTGAACCACAATGGTAGGATTCATATAACATACTAAGCCAAATCCCATTCAGGTTTGGCAACATGTACAAACCTCACATAGACTCTATTTTCCCATATTTAACTGGTTATAAGATGGGGTAGAAAAATCCAGTTAGTTGTAGGATTAGCGAGTTTTTAATATAGTTTTTCACAACCCTGAGGCCAGATGATTATTTTACTGATTTATTTATTTTTACCCACCATTATTATTTTTTATAAATAACCCAAGACAGCAAACAAATCTAATACTCTTTCTTCCTCATATTTTCCTCCACAACATCAACCTTGTGAGAAAATTTAGACAGAGAGTGACTGACCCAAATCACCCAGACAGTTATCAAATGTATAAGGCAGGACTAGAACTGACAGTCTCTTCGTTTCTAGCCTGGTATCTTAACCATTAGGCCAAACTGGCTCTGGGGAAGAATTTGGGGTTAACCCTTTTATCTGAATCCCAGCACAGAAATGAAGTCCTTAGCAAACCCATAAAAATAGGCTTGCATTAGTAACTCAGTCCCATTGTTTAATATTTCACTCCTTTTCTTCTCAAAAGGTAGTAAGCCTATCCCAGCTCCAGCTGCATCAATCAGAATCAGGTAGATTTTAAATAAAAAAAACTGATTTGAAAAATAAATATATAGGAAGTGACAGCTACACAGCTGCCCTGCAGGGACTGGCAACCTAGAGTCTAGAAAGTGGATTCCTTGTCTCCCTGGTGGGAATCTGTCATGTTGTGCTCCTGGTATACAGGATAAATATTTTCTGTGGGCGCTATGTTACAACATTCAGTTGGAAGGGTACTCAGAAGTGCCAAGCTCAATCCTTATCTTCAACACTTAATACTCTACAACTACAGCAATCCTGACAGACAGACCCTGTATAAGTAACTCCAATAAGAAATAGCCTACCACTTCTGTGACCAATTTGATTTGTTATGAATCTTACTTCGAAGAGCTATTTCATAATAAGTAACTTTCCCTGTAATTTCTACCCATTTGGATTTGCTCCAGTCCCTTTGAATAAAAAGAGAATGCATCTTTTCCATTGAAGAAGATAGCTCAACTCCATTTTCTACATGGGAACCCTTCTGATCATATCTGTTTTCTCCCTTTAATGCAAAGCTGAATAACCTGCCACTTTCTAACAATCCCAGAACCCTTTCTAACAAACTGCTGAGCATTAGGCAAGTGAAAAGTATAGTTAAATGGAAATGTAAGTCTGAGGGGGGGAAAGCACCCTCTTTTTAAAAAAATAAAAATAAATTCAGGCCTTTGAAAAAAGGAGGGAAGAAATCTAAGTGAAACTAGGTGGGCAATGTGATTTTTCCCCCATGGGCATCAGAACTTGATCCATTGTGGATTTTACTGTGTGCCAACATATTCAGCATGGTTGTGACCACCAAGTGTTATTCATCTAACCATCAGCACATTCTTTCCAGGGCTACTGGAAGTGTTACTGTTCGACTTGGTCTGTCCAATACTACAGTAGGTACGTGCAAAAGGCTCCAGTTTTAACCATTTGGAATACAAAATGGCTACATGTATACCATATACTTAGCTTGTTTATTGAATGTACCCATTTAAAAAGTTATGTAATACATAATATGCACTAACCACATGATCTGACAGCTAATTAAAAAATTAATCAAGTTTAAAGTACAATTGGAGCTGCTAGTCAACTGAATTTGGCTAAGCAGAGTTTGGCAGATAATGGGGTAAATAAGTCAGCCTTTCCAAGCATATTTAACATACTTCATTCTAAATAAATGGCTGCAATATTCTTAATTACTAAATGAAATCATTTGGGGGATACATTTTATGAATCATTCACAAGAAAAGTAAACCATATAAACCTTGTAAAAATCAATCATATTTACACTTCACATCTTGCATGAATATGTCTATTAGGTCACTATCAGTCCTGGTTTAAATGTATGATGTTAACATAACCAATAAGTTGATGTCTATCATGATGGAAGTATGATTAAACTGAGTCTAAATAAAGTAACAGCATGTGCATTGGTTTATTTATTTGGTGCAATCCCTTGCCAGTTCCTCATTGGTTGATTCCATGCAGTTATCAAAACTATAAAGTCCAATGGCAGAGTTGTCCTCAGGACACATAAAAAGTAGAGTGCTTCCATTGCACCATTACAGACACCTCTGGACTGTTTGTACACCTTGTGGATATCCCTGATCTATAAAAACATGATTACAGAACAAGAACACCATTAACCTGTTTCGTTTGAGGTCCAGCATACCAAGGAATAAATCTAGAACCACATTTGGCCATCATTAGAGAATCAGGTAACTTGCATTTTCAAGGGGGCTCTAGAAGGCTCTTTATCGATAGCGACCTAGCAACACCCATACATATGCATCAGCTTGATCTGCCTCCTGCCTTCTTGGTTAGGCCTTAGTTTCCTGCTTCCAAGCCATGGCTTTCCTCCTCCTAATTCTTTGATTTCCTTTCTCTCATTCTAGCTTCAAGAGGGAATAAATCATTATGTTCTTATTGGCCTAGCACAATAAAAGATGGAGATGGATCATGGAAGTGAGGAAGGGCTGGACAGCTGCAGCTCCTTCCAGGTCCTCAAGAGTCAGAGGGGTACTTTGAGTTCTCACCACATTCTCCTTGGCTGCTGGAACAGGATTGACACCTGGGTCCTTCGTTCTCTTCCTCCTGCATTCTTGAGGTAGAAAAAAAGAAGACCAGTAAAAATGAAGCTTGACTTCTGCCTACTCCCTTCCTCTTGCAACATGATGCATTGTTGCCTGCCCCACTCCTGATCCAAACTTCAGATATCTCCCCCAAAGTGGGAAGACTCAGAGGAATAACACTTTTCAGATTCTATCAGAAGTAAAACTGCTCATTTCCTCTAACAAACTATATTCATTTCATGACAGTAATAGTTGATTCATGAACTTCCCTGCCAACAGATGTGAGCTGTTGTGCAACTTTGATTACTTTCAAGGGTCATAGACAAATTCAGGAAGGAGGTGATGATAGCTGGCTACTAGATCTGATAAAAATATTGCATTTTCATGATGAAAGGACCCTAAATAATAGCAGGAGGATGCTAGTGCCCTCAATAACTTGTGAGTTTCCCATGGAATTTGGTTAATCCTCTTGAAGCAGGTAACCGGACTAGGTAGGATCTTTTCATGTTCTTTATATTTCTTGAGACAGGAATTAATTTCCCTCGACTATCACTGAGAAAGGGAGATAAAGGGCAGCTAATTAAAGTCATTCTTGAAAGCCATCTTAGTTATAGATCAGCCTCACATCAGTTGGCAGGGAGGCCTATGAATCAACTGTCATATGAAATGAGCATATGCCTCCATATACTATATTTGCCATGAAAATGTTTCCCTCCTCCCAGTGTAACTTTCCTATCATTTTTTAAAATCACAATCTTGATCCAAAGTCATCACACTGCATACAGTGTACAGACTTGCAAGGGGACAGCCCTGAATCACATAACCAATACTTCCAATATTACAACTACAAGAACTGATTGTCCAGAAAAGCCATCTAGGGCATAGAAAGAAAACAGATGCACAAAATATTCTTTATTCTAGACACATTTCCATTGGACTGGAAAGAAAAAAAAAGACATCTTTTTCAGCAGGAATAATGTTGGACATACTATTTCTATTCATTCCCAAAACAAATGAAGGAAGCAGCTAACCAACACAATCATTTTCATCCCTATGCCTCTTTCTTGAAAATGTATTTCTAACCTGAACCTTCTATTGAGAAGCACAATTATGCCACAGTGTTGGACACATGATTTGCACACATAGATGGTGCCAGATTCAATCCCTGAAAGCCCCAGTTAAAGTAACTTTGGACTGCAGATTGGAGAGAAGAAAATCAGTTGCTGCCTGATAAGCCCGAAATCCTCTGGGCAGGCCAACTCTTGCTCTTTTGCTCCTATTCTTTATTT